TTCGGAGATACATTGCCTTGAAAATTCAGGACTTGGCCAGTGGATGGTAAATGAGTCCCATATTCTAGTAGCAGTTCCATGTAGAAATTCAATGATGCACTTCTCCTCCTGTTTGGAAGCTTTCATCTTTATTTTGAGTCACTGAAATATGTTACACCTTACTGATAGAGTCTTTTAAAGTCTAGGATAAAAAGGCCCCTCATATTCTCTTTGTTAGTATACATTTTTGAAACAAAGCAATATTGTAAAATATTTAAAATGGTTTACAGTTACAATTATATTATAAATATTCTATTGCTAAAATGCTTTTGATACCCTTTTCTTTGATGATATCAGGTCTATCTATCTATCTATCTATCTATCTATCTATCTATTTATCTACCTATCTGTCATCTATCTCTCTTTGTCTACTTTTAAAGCAATAAGAGCAAATTTGAAAATCAATATAATCTACAATAGAAATGCAAGAACATGTGAAGAAACACATAAAATATAAAATGAACATCAGAACAGAGTGAGATTGGAACCCCAGGTTAAGGGTTTTCTACTGTGGGTGGAAGGATTCTGTTGTAAAACCTTAGATTTTATGATGCTTCATCAAGATTCAGATGTAGGGAGTCATAGTCACTATGGTGATACAAAACTAAGGTAATAAGAAAGAGGCCCTTGGATAAGTCTTTCTGATAAATGATATTATATTGGAATAATTTTAAGTAGGATCTAAATCTAATGCACAGTAATTAGCACTCAATATTGGAAAAAATTAACCAAGACTTTCAAAATCTTACCAACTTTTATACTTCTTGTAACAAACTTCATGATTAGGCCAATCACAAGGAAGAAAGAAAGAAAGGAAGGAAGAAAGAAAGAAAGGAAGAAAGGAAGGAAGGTAAGAAGGAAGGAAGAATTCAAAATATTCTGAGTATTGTTTTCCCATAGTCAGCCTTTCTCAACCACAGATAATATCAAAGCCTTATGGACCCAGAAAATGTTTTCATTTTATGTTTTTTAAATTAACATTCTAAACATTATTCTCATACCCAAGTAAAATTATTTTCATCACTTATTTTTGGTTTGATTAAGAAGTTAAGAGCTACCTGGGGACATAGAAGTCATAGTTTCTCATTTGCCTATCACATCTTTTCCTTTCTTCTTGTTTCTGAAGGATCATCAAATTGAAGGAAGCATGAGAAAGTAGAGGGATGTCTTGTTGATGCTGTATTCTGGTACCCTACATATGGGAAGAGGTTGAAATGCAGGCTATTTCCTGTTCTCTAGAACTTGAGAGACTTTTACCTGCTTTTACCATTCCTTGGCAAGAAAGAGGCAGCTATCCTCTAAACACTTGTCTACTGTGGACCTGCTATGAAACAGCCATGTCCTGGCTCAGGGCTTCTCAAAAGCAAAAACTGGTAGAGGTATTCTGATAGACCTACCTTGGATATCATCATCAATACACAATTCATTTTTGTGAGAGAACACATGCTGATCTGATTACATTGCCATCTATCCTTGCATTCCCAGTAGAGTACAGTAAATTGATACTATGTCATAATATTACATAATATTTATTTAACTCTAAATTCCTGAATTCAGACCTGTTACTCATCATCTCGTTGACATCATTTAACAGTAATTCAATTTCTTGTGCATAGAAAACCATTACAAAGGCACAATTTTAAAAAAGTAGAATTTTACAATGTGACAAAGCTCTCATTGATAGCACATTGATGTGTAATAGAAAGAGGAATAATTTTGAGGGACAAAAACCTGTGGCAGATTTGGCATTCATGAATGAGCAGGAATAGAGCTAAGCCTAGAAAGGCAGTGTCTTTAGAAAGGGAATACTGGATAGGAAGGTAAATGACAATGAATGTGAGGAGCACATTTTCTATGCATGGCAACAGCCTATGTAAATATCCTGTGCAAGGATATTGACATTCAGGAAGCAGCAAGGAGATATGTCTCATGCAAACACTGCAGTTTACATTGTAGATTATTGCGAGTTAAGACTTGGCAGGTGTTTCTGAGGGTGATGATGGAATATCCTGACTACTGGGTTCACAAAGAAGTCAAATGGAAGTTTCTATACTCAAACATTCTACCTAGTAAGAATATGGATAAAGGAGAAAGACTTTTATCTAGCAAATAAAATCCGAGTGTGTCTAAATATGAATAGATTCCATGATAGGTGTTATTAGGAATTCATAATTATTTTCAGTCTCCACAGTGTTACAAGGGATTCACCAAGATCATGGAGCACTGTGTAAAGGGCTGAGGTTTAATTTCAAATTGTTAATAATTTTACATATCTATATCTATATCTATATCTATATCTATATCTATATCTATATAGTGTATGTCTTTGCAGGTGCCATCCTGCAGTGTTCATGGAATTTTTTCTAACTTCATTGGTGCTACCACTCAACTTCTGAATCTAGAAACATAACTTCTTAATTCTTGTATTCATAACAAGCTCACTGCTAAGCATAGTGAGCCTAACATAAGATACAGTATTGAAGATTGAACAACAGAAACACATTAGGCCCTTGGTAACTAAAACACTCAGATTTTCCTTTTTCTTGGGCACATTCTCTCTATTATTTTTCTACAGCATCTCTTTTTTACTCTTTTCTTTTTCTGGATTGAAACCATTTGCTTCCTTAAAAAAGCACACCTTCATTTCCTATCCATTTTCATTGGTTTTAGGTTGGGGATGAATCATCAGTGTGGATTTAACTTTCATGAGCCTATTTTCCAGCAGGCTTGGTTGGATGATCTTGACTTGTCCTTCCAGCTTGAAGTGAGATAATGCATGTAAAATCTCCTTGGGAACTAGTGGGTGCCACAAATATGTAGGACAAGCATCATTTCTGTTTCTATTTTTTCAGACTTCCTCATCCCTTCAGCTGCCTTTAACACTCCAACCTCATGTATATCATGGATAAGTTTTCCATTGCACTTTATTCAAATGAAGATAGTGAGAACACTAAAAATATTCCTCAGTTTCTGGAATAGTATCTCTGTGTGTGGTAGTGGAGGCGAGGGGGTTCTTATTGCTTTTTCTCTATTTATATTCATGTAAAGAGAACAGTTCTTGTGTCTTCCAGCTATCTGAGATTTTGGAACACACAGGGACCCTCCTGGAAATAGATACAAATAACAAAGGTATAATCCAAGTTTCTACTGGCTCTTGGTCAACCCATTCTGAAAGGATCCCAAACTCCTTGAAGCTTACAAACCCTTCCTAAGAGGCCTTGGTCACACTGTTTGCATTTATTCTGCATAGTATCACTGAAGGTGAGACTCTGCTCGGCAGATATCACCACATCCGCAAGTTTCCATCCCACCTTCCATTGCAGTTGTACCGCTGTAGTTCCAGAGATAGCCAGATTGCATGGAACACTTTGTTCTTCATGTGGGACAGCCATGTTTTCTCTCTTATGCAACATCAGTGATGCTTTGGGACAATGCTGAATGGCAGGTTGGGAAGCAGTCTTTCAGGCTTTACTTACATTCATGCCCTCAGTTTCAAATATTATTCAATATGGAAGACATGTCAGAGTGACAGACTCAAGAGAAAGAATATCCATTTATTTCCAGACACTGAGCTTTGTTTTCACAACCAAACATGAGTTACCCGTATCTTTTTTCTGCACAAGATGGTTTGCTTTTAGGAGTAGTGTCAGTCTTTTAAAGAAAGAGCCAGGAGTTCAGATCACCAAATGTGCCCACCATGTATAAAAGTGGGAAAGTTATGTTCTCTACCTTGGCACCAGAATGCAGGAAGTAATGCAACTGTGTTTAGGAGTAATACATTGAAGGTGTTGGGGAAAGATAGAAGCTGAGACATAAAGATGCTGGAGTTAGTTATCATTGAGATATTTAATTGCGAGTGAGTCAGTATGACAAACAAAGAGATAAAGAGAAAAATATGGTGAGGTAAGACCAGCCCCCGAGAAGGAAAAGGATATGACATTTTTGCTAAATGGAAGTTCAAAAGAATTTCTATCAAACAATAATGTGTTGTGAGTCATTTCAAAATTGTTGACTCTGTGGTTCCTATGTCTGTACCCATTTTGGGAGGACTTTGGATTGTCAGAATCACAGAACAATAGAGTACAGAAAATATCAGCTGACATTTCTCAGGTGTTGTGAAGGAAGAGGGCTTCTTAGCTCTGTTTTATATAGGACAATCCATAAATGAATTAAAACCACTAGTTACAAACTAATATAGGGATCTGTCCACAAAGTCCACTCTAAGTTATAGTACGATTGAAGCCAAAATCAAGGCAATAAAGGTTATGAGTTGTTAACCCACCAAAATCATTGATACTTAGAGATATTAAGGATGAGAGAGACTACACTGGATAAATGGCCCACTATTCTGATGGGTGACGAAGACAATGTCTTGATCAATGAAATAAAATAAGAATTAAATTTTTGTTGGAGTCATAAAGGAATAAAGGGATGGCATTTGGAGAGAGGCAAAGGTGCGTATAAATCACTTCATGAAGTTCCAGACGCAGCAGAAAAGGATTTGGACCACAGTAAGACACTCCTTTTCGAGACTGAAGTTAGGAAGGTGAATTGATGGCTTTGTGTGGAGGGCATTAGGTGCACAGACAATAAACTCCTGTCATGGATGGGGGTTCATGTTAATTTGTGAAGCAAACAGCAACTGTGAGAATAATGTTGACTGCAATATATAGAACATCCCATCTTTAATATTCTAGAGGTGACTAAAACTAAGAAGAGACAGGGTAATCAGAAGAAAAATCAAAACCAACCTGGGACTATGGATAGGACAGGAAAGAGGTGGGTCAGAATACAGCCAAGACAGGTGATGATTTATAGAGTCAGGCATCTGTGGGCATAAAAGGGAATCAAGCTTGCATTCAAGGCATTTCACTGTCAGATAAGAACTGTCTCAACGAAAAGTCTTCTTACCCCAGAGGCTTTACTGTATTTCATGCCCAGGAAGGCTCTGGGCTCAGGCTTCAGACTGGCATCTTCAGGACTTTTTTCAATGTAGGGTTGCTCATCATCAGTGAAGTATAATGAATACAGACTAAACCATAGATGATAGCTTCAGAAACCCAGAACCATGATTTCTTATCAAATATGGTGCCGATAAAGGAGACAACTACAGTCAGAAAATAGGATGTGAAGAAGATGAAGAAGGTAACAAGAGACCTCAGAACAGTAGACTGAGCTTTCATGCTGCAGGAGTTGTTGGTGTTATACTCTTTCATCTGCCCCCAGTGCCGGAACAGTGAGACTATGAGCACAATAATAGAAACAAGGAACACGAGGAAGGGAACACCAAAACCAATCATTTTAAGAGGATTAGAAAGATGCTGTTCAAACATTTGAAGTCTTACAATGGAAGAGCTGTTTCTAGGTACATGATCCAGGGCGATTAATTCCATCTGGATATGATATTTAATAACAGAAGGGATGATTGATAGACAAGAAGCTATCAGAGTGCCCAGTATCAACCAGGGAACCAATTTCAAAATTTTCCACCTCAGCCAGAGGAAGATGGAGTGGGTGAAGGAAGAGACCTTGACACAGTAGAAGACAGCAAGCAAACTGGTTAGCCAGAACGTCAAAATGTTCATAAACTCCCAGATGACTGATATCTTCCAAAATAGATAGACAGGTCTAGAAAAGGTACCAAAGTTGTACAGCACTGATGCCCATTGTAGACAGAAATGTGAAATGCCAAGGCTAATGAGGATCATTTCCACTGGTGACAGTCTTTGAAAGTTCATCCACTCTCTGCACAGCACTGCAACAGTTATGCCACTTTGTATAATTATTATCAACGACTCAAGTACATACATGATGATGGAGAAGATGGTGACTTGGTTTGGCACCATGCTTCTATTCTGAAGTATCTTCCTGGACAAAGATTCAGAAGCTCTGTACCAATTTCCAAATATAAAACAAGTACATGTTCTCACCACTCTTGGTATAAGAGAATACCTCCTTATGGATGCAAATCCTCCTGTCTCTTTTGACATAGTCATTTTCCTATCTACAGGATTTGCCTACGTTTGCTTGTTGGGTTGAATTCACACAGAGATGCATGAAAATATTGTTTGGATTTGGATTATTGATCCTAAGATGATTTGATTATTTTCACAAAGAGAAATCCATTATACATCCATGCTGTTTTTTCTTCTTTACTACTTTATCTGTTCAAGGTACTCTTTGGTTATCTCTCCATCTTCTTTAAATAATGTCTTTAAAGTTTATGAATTTAAAACTTGAGTAGTAGCTCGGCCTGATGCTTGGTTGTGGATCTATGTATCTGGTTCCATCAATTGAAGACTCTATGATGATATTTGGGGCATTCACCAATGTGCTTACAGGGGAAGTCAGTTCAGGCACTGTCTCCACTATTGGTAGGAGTCTTAGGGCTTGGACCTGCCTCAACTTAATGGGCTAGGCTATGTTGTTTACCCATGGAGACCTTACTACTTGGCACGAGTGGACAGTGGTGGGCTGGCAGGTAGATGAGGTGGTAAGGAGGAGGGGTGGGAGGGAGAACTGTGATTGGAATGCAAAATAAAATTAAAATAAAAAAACTTGAGTCATAGAAAAGATGAATCCTTCACTGTGCATGCATGTCCTAGATAATGTTTTCATTCTGCCAAATGCCATGCTAGTGCCATCCTCACAATCCCTGTCTTTCTAGCACCTTCAACAGCTGAGGATGTATGCACTAACAACAGAATGTGAGGAGAAATCCTACCCATAATTACTGGAAGCTTGGGCCTTTCAGTGTCCCCATCTGTTGACCTCCCAATGGCGATGAAGTATTCTTGTAACTACTCTTCTACTAATTCTAATGCCTTAAGTACATATTTCATATAGTTTTGCATATTGTTCTTGTTTTATTAATACCACTTTTGTTTGTCCTTTTATGACTATGTCCTTCTTGTCACTTTTCACAGATGAATTGGAAGAAAACCACCTCACCACTAGTAAAGCATTTTCACTCCAAATGTGTAAGGCATTCTTTCACAGATATGCAAGGAGGAATGCATTTTCCCTTGGCACTGGACAACTAACTATCCAAATTTTTTAAAAAAGCAAACAACTATTTAATTAGTGGCTTGAAAAATGAGAGACAGATTCTAACAATTGGTAGCTAGTGAGAGGAAGAAAGTGAAGGTTGTTGACTTTGAGTTCCAAGCCTGGATGGATATTTAATTGTTCAAGAATGGGAAAACAGAGGTGATCTGAACAGAAAGTTAGAATTGTGGTGCAAAGGAAAACAAAAGATTTTCAAAACTTACACCAGCACATAGGATTAAAATTAGAAAACATTGGCTTTGCATTTTTCACTAAATTCAAAAAGTAGGAAATGAAATAATGAAACAATAGCTTTCTCCTAAAGGACGGATTGATTGAGATGTAGGCTCCCCACACAAGAGGAGAGAGAGTGTCAAGCGTTTTTAGAGAAATATGCAATTACAGCAATAATACCTGTTTTATTTACTGTTCAGCTAAGCATGCTCCCTCCTACATATAGTGACCTTAGAAAGACTGTGATGTTACAAGCCTCTGTCTCAGGAATTGTTCACTTGGGGACATCATGTTACAGCCCTCAGGACTGACAGTAGCTACAAGAGTTTAATCAGAAATGAATCTCTGTCCAAAGTGGCATTTTATAGCTATCCTTCACCTGGAGCAATACCCGATGCTCCCCTCCCTCACAGGGGTGTCCTTTATGTGGTTGCGAAAATTAAATTTCCTAGATATTCCCTTTGGAAGAATTTGATTGAGATACACAGAATGAGTTGATATTCTCTGGGGTTAGAACTTCAAAAGATGGTTCTTCTGTTGTGTGGGCTCATCTCTTCAGCAACTTGAGCTTGCCCCCTTTCTCCTTTAGTACCCACCTATACCCTTTTTCCGTATCCCTGAGAGTTGTTAGCCATTAGCCAATGCTCACAAGTTCACACGGCCCAGAATGTGTGTCTGTGTCTCCGTGTATAGCATTCAAGCCACAACCTACACATAGAGAGGGCAGAGAACAACTTGTGGGAATCAGTATCCCTTCTTTTCAGTGTGGGATCCTGGGAATTAAGCTTAGTTTCTCAAGCTTGCCTCTACCCATTGAGCTTTCTAGCTTTCTCAAGTTCACAGATGGAAATACAGGATCTCCAGGCTTCATGCTCCTCCCAGATCTGTTCCCCCTTTTCAGACAGAGCAAAGGCCCACTGGATTGTTTCCTAATTGATTCTACTCTTTCCTTATGGGAAATATAATATCAACAGCCAGAGGATTTGTATCAGTCACTCCTGGATTCTCACTGTATAACCTAGTCCCATCTTATGCAAGTTAATATTACTGATTTGTAAGGTTTTTTTTTTTCTTGTTTTGTTTTTAAGACAGGGTTTCTCTGTGGCTTTGGAGCCTGTCCTGGAACTAGCTCTTGTACCTAGTCTGCTCCCAAACTCACAGAGATCCACTGCCTCTGCCTTCCAAGTGCTGGAATTAAAGATGTGCACCACCACTGCCCGCCCAGCTTTATTTGTAAGTTTAATCATAATCTACGAGTTATAGCACTAATCTCTTTCATTATTGAGAATAGTGTTTTTTCTTACAACATACGACGATTCTAGTTTCACCTCCCCAACTCCTCCATCCTACATACCTTCCGCCAACCCCAATTCTTTCTTGCTTTCGCTTTTATTAGAAAACTAATGTCTGCTTGTGTACATATATTTACTTTGTAAAATAATTGAAAATGGGAAAATTAGAAGTAACACTCAATTAAAAGAAGGCAAACAATATAACCAAGAATATCTCAAGGACGGATACTTTTTAACCTCCCCATTCCCAAAACAAAGTATACAATTTTGGCAATATCAACTTCAATTGGAAACTTTAGGAAAACAGAAAGCTGTACATACTTCTGGAAGGGATGCAAATTAATAGTGCTACACTAAAAATCAATTTGATCCCATTAATAAGCTATTACTTGCTGAGTACATGTTGTGTGTTGTAGAGAAACTCTTGCATATTTATGACAAGGGAGATGTTTACAAGTCTATTTCAGACGTGCTCATAATACTGATGGGCTCAAAACTCTACAAATGGCCAGAAGCTGAGAAACAAAGAGTGGCTCCTTCATATACCATAAAACCACGCAGATATTTATTTGCCATCTTCCAAACTAGTTAACTACACTTGATTCTTGCTGGCAGAAGTTTCCTCTTACTGGAGAGCTTTTAAATGCCAGATTTTGTTTAATGTCTCCTTTGCATATTCAGTCTGAGCATGAAAATCAGTTCTGAGGATACAGCCCAGAAGAGAAGGCCTTTGAGACTATCTATGGGAATATTCCCCTCCGATAGTACAGAGATCCTTCTTTCTACTCTTTGTTATTCTAAATTACATGTGACGCTGAGGGCAGCTATAGCCTTCAAGGGAAGTCAGAGGAAACACAGACACACACAGACACACACAGACACCCCCCCACACACACACACAGGGATAGACACATCCCCCACCACACACACATTAGCTCATATTGTTGCAGGAGGTTTAATGATTTTGGATTGAACTAACTCTGAAAGCTATGAAATACTTTTGTATGTGCAGAGTTTATCCCCGTAGTTTAAGCCACAGAGAAGCTTGGCACTGTGGTCTGATATCAAGCAGAAAAATAGAAAGAGAAATATAGTGTTTTGTTGCTGACCTACAAACACTCATTTTATGTAACACTTAAGGAAATGTTAAAGTACAAAACAGACCTGATTGCTAGCCTCACCAGTGAACACCATTGCTCTCCTGTAGACTAAGTGTAAGCAGATATGTTGTTGTTGTTGTGTGAGTAAGGTGACAATTTTAGATCATTCTAACAAGAAATTATCAAAGATGCCAAATATATGGGTACACAAATTGTTAGTTACTTTTTAGGGAGAAACCTGTATCCTGGGACATGTCACTGAAATAAAGGCATTGAAAGAATTAAAGAAATGATGTTTATAAATTCATATATATCATATATGACATTGGGCTAAGCATGGTTTCCAAGATCTTCAGTCATGTGACATTACATTAGCAAGGAGTGTTCAGAACAGTGGGAACAAAAAGATGAGCTGACACCAATTCACTCATACCAATGAGATAAGACGTGGCCCTTCAAATTGTCCACATCTTTTTTTTTTTTTTTTTTTTTTTTTTTTTTTTTTTTGGTTTTTCGAGACATGGTTCCTCTGTGCAGCTTTGGAGCCTGTCCTGGCACTCGCTCTGGAGACCAGGCTGGTCTCGAACTCACAGAGATCTGCCTGCCTCTGCCTCCCGAGTGCTGGGATTAAAGGCCTGTGCCACCAATGCCCAGCAATTGTCCACATCTTAATGCTCAAACATGTCAATGCATCACCTCATGTGGCAAAATGGACTTTTGCAGGCATAAACTCAATTTGTCATTTGAAGTTGCAGGAATTCGTTAGGGAAGCAGTAGGAAAACAATATAAGAACCTAGTAGCCAAACTCTACTATTACTCAGCTTTTAATTTGTAGGTATTTATGTTTAGTAACCTTTGTTACCTTTGTAACCAGCAGCACTACCAATCAGAATTCATTTTTTTTAGTATGTGGACTTCCAAAAGTTTTGCCACTGAAAAGGGTATCTAGAAGTAAGTGAAAGACAAGGAGGCCCAAGTACAGCATAGGGAACAGCCTCTTTCCCCTTTCTATTTCTGCTACCCACCTACATGACCCAAAAGCAGCCAGTGTTTATTTGCTGTCTATCTCATCCTTTAAAGAAAAATCCATAGCACTAATTTGTTTAGTCTCCAACATATTGAGTGGATGAATTCCTATAACTCTGGGAGCATGAACACAGTCAACTGGAAAA